TATCACAGCCATAGAAAGAGAAAATAACTCAAGTTTGGCATTAAAGCTAAATGGATAGCTATTCAAAAGACCAGTCTTGACACTTGGTTGACAGGCGCTATACTCCAAATATCAGAAATCGGTCTTTGCCTATAAAGTACTTAACTTTTTTACTGGTATATTTAGGGCTCAGCTTAAAATACTTAGTATTTTCTGATGCAGCATTTTTAAAGTCAAATTAGTCTAAATAGAACACATTTTAAAATAAGGTATATTTAGTAAATTAATGATAAGTATTTTACTGCTATCAAAGCAGAATATTCAAGACTAAAAACATTTATTTGTATTGGAAAAGATCATTCCTGAATCATCAAACTGCTTATGTCTCTATTTCCCACCCTATACTATTTAATAATCCTCATGAGTTCCATAAAAATTGAGTGTTAAATTGACATCTATTGTGATTTAGATGTCAGTAGATACACTATTTGCCAAGAGTGATAATATAAGTCGCTTTCTTGAAGGCCATTCAATCAGCGGTGATTCGGTTTTCTGATTCTTCCCTGGCTTCTATATCTGAACCTGTCGCTAGACAAACACTTTTAATCGCAGAACGTTCTTGAGAAGATTGATTGAAATCACCCAAGAGATTTAGGTTAGAATTCATTGCTTGCCTCTTCCTTAATAACGAATTTCAAAATGGGCAAGGCTACTTTTTTCATTATGTGGATAAAATCTGGCTAAGAAAGTTTTCTATTGGCAACTCCTTATAATATCCCTCACAGGATATCTTCTATGCTGGCATTGATGCTGTCGAGATAAGGAAGCTCCCGAATATAAATAGGAAGTTTTTTTCTCCAGAAAATGCTCTAGGAATAAATTAGAGAATTTTGGTTATGTTACTAGTCACGATTCAACTTTGATCTAAGCACTTAGTAACCAAGTTTGATATGCTCTAAAGAATGCTACAGGGATGAAAAATGTCATTGATATGTCATTAATCAAACTATAGGATATGATATAAAATTTGGAATTGTCATCGAGTATTTGTCCTTGGAAATCTATTTATTTTGTACTCTGGCATTATGCACAGAGTTTTAAAACGGTTGTGCTGTAGTTTTCAGAGCGCTAGAAATCACTATTTCAATGATACATTAAAGAAGGAAAAGTTTAAAGATAAACTTAGGATCACTGTCTTTAGGCCTCAAACAATAAATTATTTAAGAATTTACCCATTCTAAATATATAAATTTGTCTTGGGTAGTCTATAAATACAGCCTCTACTGCAAGGAGATAAGATTTATTAGGAGAGTCGAATAATATAAACGCATATGTTTTTTGAATTCTAAGACCTGTTTCTATGAGAAGTATTTCAAACGAAATTTTGCCTGCTGCTTTTTCCCATCAACTATTATTTTTGAACATATTCTTAGAAGAAATATTGAGACTTCTAATGTTACTACCGAGTTAGCTGAGACAAGAGCCGCATGATATTCGATACAAAGGGATGGAGTCAAGAAAAGCAGGGAAATCTTCCTTGTTCAGGAGTGAAGGGACCCTGATTGCTAGTGCTATTAGCCTTGGCTTTTTTGAATTGGGCATTCAGATAAGTGCATTTAGGATACAATCAGCCTCTTCATGAGGCAATCCTATTGGATAATAAATTTAAATAAAACCAACTTTATATCCATCTTTACCTTCCTCTGTTCGTTTTCTCTCCACAATTAAGAATTAATCATTAAAATTTGCGATACTAAGCTATGCATCAAAAAATCGCATACTCGCGACTTGATTGTATCCTAGGAATTAAGAAGCAGTGTGAGATTAAATCTATCCTTTTTTATCCTAATCCAAAAACTGTAGAAAAACGATCTCTCGTTTATAGACAGATAAGAAGACCAATCTGGTTTACTTCTTGTTATTCTTTCCATGAAGGAGTATCAGAGGAAAATGAAGTTTTGCACTTATGGAAAGGGTTAAGAATTTCACAAAATCTCTCAAAGCATTAGCAGAACAATAGGTAAGAGTAAGTTTATTAAGCACTCCAGTATCTGATGCCTAGGATAACGATATAGAAATGAGGGATTTGGCTAATTGGATGTTGAAGAGCTCTAGATATGGTCCTCTCCAAAACTATTTGCCTTTTGTTCTCTAAGTTTAAGCCCGCCCACAATTTATCGGTGATAGATTAACCACCATATTCTGAAACAAGGCTAGTTATACAAAAATACAAGATGGGAAAATATTTTTGAAATCTTTATTTAACTAATTTTTAAGCTAATCTCGTCAATTTGAGGATTTTTACTTTGGCAATAAGAATTTTATTAAGAAGTGAAGAAGTAAAGGGAACACTGCCAACTAAAATCTATTCAATAAACTAGAAAAATGGAATAAAAATGGCTCAAATCTGTATGAATTACTTATTTTTCAGAAAACGAAGCTAGATCTTTTACTAGAGGAATTATATTGGTATATATATGATAATACATTAGGCGTAACCTCACTTCCTGGTAAGCAAATAGACTTAATTTCATTGAAAAAAAAGCATAAAAGAGTTATTACTAAGGCTCAAGAAATTATATGAAATCCGGGATTTCATGCACGTCATCAATCGTGCTCATGAGTT